TGAGCCTGCATGCTCAGTGGTGAACCCTGAAGTGGACAGGAAGTAGTTCTGGTCCACTTCTGAGTCCTTCAGCGAGCACACAGGGAGCCCCCTTTGGCTCGGTGATCAGCTGCAGTGGGAGCCCAGGTGCCCCCCCAGACCCAGGAGGCACCAGTTGCGGGGGGGGGGCAGTACTCTCCCCAGTGGACCCAGAAGGGCTTCTGGTCCACTTTCCGGGTCTGCGGATGAGTGTGCTGGGAACGCCCCCCCCCCCCAAACGTTTCTGTGGGACGCTCTATCTGCCCCGCATTGCACCATTCACGGGCTGCCTGGTATGTTAAGGTATGTAGAAAAAAACATTTAAAGCTGTGTCTATGTCCAAACTGCCAAATCTTTCCGAATCTCTCCGAATAGATTCGGAGGGTTCCAGTTTGATTTGGAGAGATTAAAAGGTCTCCTGATTCTATTCAGATTCAGAGATTTGGCTGCTGAATCAGACCAAATCTCTGCTGAATCGAATCAGCGACTGAAGCTTCGCACAGCCCTACTCCCTATGCTTTTATATACCTATGTAAATGTCAAATGTAAAAGCAATAAAAAAGGTTAAGATATAGAAATGCATAATTGAGGCACTTGTAATTTTATGTTTCCCTACAGGGAATACATGAAATAGCCATAAAGTTATGACTGATTCATATTAGAGCTAGAGGTCATAAGTGATTTTTAAGCACACCTTAGAATTTTTCCTATTTGTTTTCTGCACGGAGTCATTGCCTTTTAATATTTCCAATGAGACTGAAGACGAGCCACCCTCAGGAAAATGGTCAATCCCTTTACATTATTAAGAAGGAGAAAAATATATCAGGTGAGTGGAAGCATTGGTTGTCTTTGTTAGGAGTAGCTCTTTGCTTTAGTCGCATTAGAACAAGAAAACAATGACCCTTATAAGAGGCAATTCTTCATGAGTTTCTCTGCAGCTTTAAACTGAAAGAAAATTCTAATTACCAGAAAGTGGGTCATGCTTGGGAACGGGGATACTATTGATGCTCAAACTCTTGTTTAAAAAACTACCATTTTGCACATTCTGCTTACGTGTTGCCACCCTCCCTCTTTTTTGTGTAACTGTACAATTATTGAGCTGAGATAATTTTGGAATAAGGTGAGACAAAACACAAAAAATTGACACTAGCCATATCAGGACAGGGCCTGAGAGTTGCGAGCTGGGTACTGTGTCTACTCTGCCCGTTGTATTTGGCTTGGGTATAGGTGGAATGAGAGCAAATGGATGGAGTTCTGGGTCACAGTCCTGGACTTATTCTGTCTTTCACATTGATGACCCAGTTGAAGTCTCCTGTTATCACCATTGGCTGGGTACTAGGCATCGCCACAATCACGTTTTCCGGGAAGGTGTGCCTCCTTGTTTCCTTATTGTCCGGTAATTAAACATTTAGGAAGTCAGATATCCCACCCTGTTTCAAAGGTGGTTTGTAATAGCATGCCCGCAATAATCTCTGTGCTGTATGGGGTCTCACTTTGTCTCCTTTAAGCAGAATAGCCAACCCCACTGGTCTTTTGTCATTTGATCGCAACCACATGAAGTGGCCGTGTGGTCAGCACTTTTTAAATAAAGCATAGTTTTTGGAACTGGTCAAGCCACATTCCTGGAGGCAGATAATATCTGCTTGTAGCTGCTGCAGGCATAGCTGTATTTTGTCCCATTTCTCTTTCTTTAGCAGGCTTCTCACATTTACTGAAGCTATTAAGATTCCCATGATAAAAGCAGTGGGAATGGGGGTGAGGGGTGCAGATGTAGCCTTTCCTTTTTCATTTCTTTGGCTTTTTAGCCTCTTTGCTTAGACTTAGGGTCAGGTTTTTCCCCAGCTTGCTGGAGTCCCTCTGGGATTTGGATTTGTTTCTCTAGGCAGTGTGGGGTGATGCCAGGGTCCTCTTGCATATTGTCAGTACCCAGTTGTCTGGTCCATTTCTGAGGCTTTTCATGGTTCCCTCTGTTCTGCCTCTATTTCTTTTTCTGAGAGAGAGTTTTCTTCAGCATTTGCATATTAGTCCAAAGCCAAAGGCTCATGATTTATCGTACAGATCATTAGGCTAGGCCTCAGCAGAGTCAACAGCATTTCAAGCCATTGGTGATCCCATAGCTCAGCATTGCTCAGTGTGTGTGTGTGTGTGTGTGTGTGTGTGTGTGTGTGTGTGTGTGTGTACGTACTCCAGATACCTTCCCACCTTCCCCACAAAGGTTCCATGGGTCTGTTAGCCCCTAACTCATGACTGGAACCAGGTGTCATTATCATGTGTCCTGGGATCCTCCAGAAAGTTATATGTAGGTAAGGCATAAGGCAGCCTGGTCTGGCTTCACTTCATGGGGGACAGGGTCATACTGATCATATGTGCCAAGCTGAGAGAGGGGATGACAGAGGGATTCTTGGCAAACTGTTTGGGCTCCTTCTCATGATGTTTGCCAGGCATTTAAGGCAGGTGAATTAACAGGAATCATTGGAAATGGGGAAGAGAGGTGCAGCTTGCCTGTGGGAGTGAAGCAAAAGTAAAAATATATGCAGTGTGGTGGTTCACCATGACTTAGGAGAAAAAGTGCTGAGGGGGACTGCATTCAGTGGGCCCTTAGATGGTTTGCACTAATCAATCCTTGTGATAGATTTCTATCAGCACACTTGCCCCATACGAGCTTTATGTTTTATAGTCATGCTCAGTGATGGCTTTATTTAATCAGCTTCCTAGTTGGTTTCCATTACAGATCATGTGCTGCATTCAGCAGTTCAAAGATGGACAGTGTGTTTAGTGAGGTTTCCTTGTATGCAAATATAAGAAAAGGAGCCTTTTTCCTCCATGGTAATAGGGGAGGGGGGGAGGAACCTCATCTTGTATTAGAGTAAATACAGTGTTATTTAACTTAAGGGTTAAAAAAGAGTAATTATGCCAAAATCAAGCACAGGAAAATCAGAATTAAGGGTAGGTGTAAAAGAAATCCTAACCTAAGTTATGGAGTATGTTGTTGAAGCATAACATGGCTCCAGGGTGGATTGATTGAAATCAAGTTGATATAAATCATGATTTAAATCAGCAAGCCACAGAAGCCCTTCTTTTTTTTCTTTTTTTTTTAAAAAGAAAGGTATATAGTCATTGGTAGATACAACAATTAAACTGTTGGTTTACAACTAAATACATTTTTTACAGTAAATTTAGTACATCTATTTCCTGGCTACATAAACTATCTATATACACAAACTCTCTCTCTCTCTCTGTGTATGTATATAAATAAATAAAAGATATATAAAATGTATGTGTATGTATGTGTGTGCAGCTAGGAAATAGATGTACTAAATCTACTGTAAAAATGTGTTTAGTTGTAAACCAACGTTTTTAATTGGTGTGTGTGTGCGTATAAAATCTTAACATATTTGGAGTGTTAGAAATCATGCATTTAGTATGCTATAAAAGGGTGAAAGGTATATTTCTTATTCACTAGGTGATTAAACTTTCTGCTGTGATGTTTCCTTTTCCTACAGTGGCTTGAGCCCAGCATTTGTCCTTTGTGTTGTGCACACTGATTCTCAGTTGCACATGCTGTCAGTTTTGGTTTTTTCTATGTCAGTTTTTGATGCATGCTTGGATTACATAGTGAAATTAATTTCATCTGTAAAAGGCAAGAGAAATCAGGCTCTCGGTGAAGCATATGTAATTTGTGAGGAATGTAATCCAGCCCTTTGTGTCTTGTACTCCAAGCTATTATTGGAATACGGACTGGAGCTAGCTAGTTCCTCTTGCAACCCTTTAGATATTGTAACGGGAGACATTCTGTAGGGCTAGGTAGTCCACAGTTGCATCTCCAGCCAGGCTTGCTCCCTCCATTCCCTTGTCAGACAGCTCTCACTACTCCAGCTAGGGAGACAGAGGGGTGGGGCCAACCCTGCTTTCTGGAGCAGATAGCACAGCCCAGCCACGGGCTCGAAAGCATGCTGGGATGCTGGGGGACTGTGATTTAACTTGATCTAGGAAGGGGTCTGGGACAGAAGTTTCATAAACTAGTTAGACCCAAATTAATTAAATCTGATACTACATTGAACCAGGCTTATCTTAAACTAGTTTGAGCCATTTTGAAACTGGTTTATGTGCACTGACTGAATTTTTGTTCTGTTGTAGGTTTAAACCAGTTTCTGTTCACTTAAACTGGTGTATGTGTAACTTCTGTCCCTAGCGCTGGACACCTACAAGCATAATCCCTGTCCTTTAGTACAGGGGCCCTTGCTTACTCTCTTATCTGAGTTATGATATCTTTTGGCATTCTTGTGGCTTAGCTTGATATAAATGCTTTAAATTGCCATGCACCCATACCAGAGAAAATATAATGGGTCATTGTTTACACCATGTAAATCCTTTCTACACGTTTGCTTTCGAGACTGTATGTAGTATCTACAGAATGGCAATGGTTGAAATGTATTTGAATGCACGTGTTCTCTTTTTGGTTTTTGTTTTTTTTGTAAACCTAAAAACTCAGGGAAGTCTTGTATGTGCACTCACCACAGCTGTCAATAATTGCAGGTATTTTAAAGTTTAAAGTGCCTTAGAATGCTAAACTGTTTTTATCCCTAATAGGAATAAGCATGAGTATCACATTATTAATGACCTATTGGTACTGCAGAGTAAAAATCTTGCAAGAGTTTAGAATCTGTACAAGCTGCATAGGCTGTTTCAGAGATGACCTCATCATTTATATACTGTTGCTAGTTACAGTCAAATTATTTTGTTACATAGAAAGGAAATGTCACAACTAAATACACTATATTTTGTTCCGTTTCAGGCTGGTACAGAGGTGTTTCTATTAAGAAGCCCAATGTAAAGGTAAGTGTGATCCCCGTTTTCTATTTTTAAAGATTATTTCAGGGTGACGGTGCTGTACATCCCTGAAAACCCATATTTTTCTTTTCAGTTAAAGCTCTACGCTTTAAAATCTGTTTTGGCATAGGAGGGTTGGATTGAATTCCCTGAACTGATAACCATTGCTCTAGTCATCCAATAGTGTAGAGGCCCTCTCCACAGTTGTGTGTGGGCTGCATCTGCTTGAATTTTTTTGTCCCACAAGAAAGATCATTATACCCTTCTTCATTCTGGATTTTTAAGGAAATAAATTTAAAGGAATTCACTTATATCTGTGTACATATCTATATCTCTGTACCTATTTATATCTCTATCTTATTTTGATAAATTGTATTTAAAAAATACATTTTTAAATAAATCTAGGGGAAAGCAGGGTATTTTATTGTTCTATATTCAATGGATTTGTATTTGATTTTGATTTTGGTTTAGATTTGATTACTTTTGGTCAATCCCAGTATTTTACTAGGAGGGCTTTGTTTGCTATCAAGTTAATTTTATGTGCATATATATTTAAGGAAGAGTGTGTGTGTGTGTGTGTGTGTGTGTGTACACGTAGAGATAAGCTATTCCTTTTATGGTTTTAATACATTTTCAAGGTAACTTTAAAATGTATTGAGTAGTAGTCCTTTAAAAGAAATAAAACCTGCATAATGTTAACTCTACTTCGGTTTTAATAAAAAATCCATACATTTTTAGTATCTCTTTTTATTTGTACATTTTATTGGTAAATCTTCTGTTAGAATTTGTATTCACAATTCTTACACAAGAGCCATTCAAACCTACCCTGGTTTCCTAGGTAACCAGCACAGGACTCCAGAAACAGGCTTCATAAACCAAAAGAAATCCAAGCAGCAATTTTTCCTTTCCCATATTTCTGTATGATTTAAAAGGGTACCTGTTGATACATACATAGCTAGATTTACTGCCTGTATGGGTTACTTCTTTTTGGGTTAGCTATGTAAGATTGCATGTGTGTGCATGTGCATGTGTGTGTGGGGGGAGAGAGAGGGAGACCAACTGGTATTTTATTTTAATGTTTTTTTTTGTATGGGTAATTTATACCTGTATTTAGATGTCATTTGCTACAACAAGGGGAAGGGGGGAATCCTGTTGTATCCATGTTGAATAAGATCCTTAGATTTTGTTGAAAAGTTCTAGGATCATCTTGCTTTAAAATCCTAAAAACTGTCAGAGGGGCCAGCTTGGGGGCCCATTAAAATTTGGGTCGAGTTACAAGCCCCTGAAAATTTCAGTTCATTCATGATCGTGAGAGGCTTGTTAAAGGCTATCAGGGTTACTGTCTGCACTGAGCATTCTCTATCTGGATATGTTTTATGTCTGCTGATCAGTTTGTACAAGTACCATCGCCACAGAGCGGCTTCAGTACGCTCTATCCAAAGACTGCAGGGGCTATACTTGCTATTCCTGACTCTGTGAGCGAGAGAAGAAGGGGAAGGAAACACTGTGGCATCAGAAATAAGTTTAGCGAGATTGCTTTTTGCTCTCACTGAGTCTCTGCTGGTATCCAAGCAGAGCAGTATGAAATGTAGAGAAAAAGAAGAATTAAGGAGTTATATGTAGAAAGTTGAGGAGCACAGGGAGATTCAGGAACAAGATGTGGGAAGGGTGGGAAAGAGGAGTAGAAGGAATGATGGAATAAAATTGGAGTTGAAGATGGAGGTGGGAAGATGCACAGACTGGAACAGGGACTATGCCCAGAAGAAGGATGGTGCTAACTTAATGAGTTTCTTGTTTTCTCTTAATTTGTTCATTTGTTTGGTGGTTTCATGCATTATATTGCACAATGTACAAACCCTTCACTGAAGAAAGAATTATTGATTTTTCTCATAAGGTATTCTGTTTTCTTTACCATTGCAGTATCTGAGTGCTTTGTAAACAAATTAATTTATTTTCATAATGTGTAAGGGTAGGGCTGATATAATCTCTATTCAACTGAAGAAGAATTGAAGCATAGAGAAATTAAGGAAAAAAGATCTATTTAATTGTGGGTGCTGTCATGTCAGGTCATGGGCAGCCAGGTCTGGGGACACTTGGGGATTGAGGTGTTGGCCAGGGTCAGGAAGAACAAGAAGAATTCAGGGACAAATTGGATCATGAAGTTAGGAGGTGAGTCTGAGAATGATATCTAGCAACAAGTAGAGTCAAGAAGCCAGGAGATCTGGCAGAGAGCAAGCCAGGTCAGGAAGCTGGGAGATAAAGGAGAGAGTGGAGTTGGAGAGCAATGCAGAGGGAACAGCAAAGTGGTCCAGGATGAGGTTAAGTCCTCATATACACACCTGATCCAGAACAGGAAGTGTCTGGACAACAGGAAGAGTGGAGGGTCAGCTGGCCCTGGTTGGCCACTCCAGTGACAGGGAGTTAGGTCCTACTGAAGGCTTCAGGCCAGCCCTGCCCACCCTGGGTGACTAGCTGTAGCAAGTCGAGATGCGTGGCAGTGCTGATAGGCTGAGGTGCTTTAGTTTGAAACTTTACACATGATAGGTGCTCTCTTTGAGACAACCAGAAGTTGATTTTCTAAGTACTTAGCATTATGTAGCACATAAATGCCTGACTTGCTTTGAACTTAAATAGAGATTACTTGATTAAGCTGTGAACAGATGTTGATTTTTGTCAAGCAGAAAATATTTTAATGCAGGACTGCCAAGTCAACAAAAGTGTTATGCCAGGTGGTTAGAGCCAGGTGTTACCAGCACCTGTAGTCAGGGGGCAAGCCAAAGACCAGCTAGGGTTCATGTGCTGAGCCAGAGGGGATATCAGAAGTAGATGTCAGGACATGAGCCAAGGTCAAAATTGGGGTTCTGAAGTTCAGGGACTGGGTATACAGGCAGAAATATGGGAGCAGGTACCAGGGAAGTTGCATGGACTAGAGCTACTTAATGTCTGAAACCAGTTTGTTGTGCAGCAGTGTCCAGGTGCTGCAAAAGCTCCATAAAAGCAGTACTAGGACCAATCAGCAGGCTGAGGTTCAGCTTGAGTGTTGCTGACCCAGCTGTCTGGCTGCAGTGCAAAGGCCTTACAATGACAAAGCACAAGCATATAGGCATCCTTGCCGCTTGTCACGTGACAGATCCTCCAAACTGTTTGCACAAGAAGACTTGCTAACAGTTTGTCCCACATTATCGTGACAGACGTCTGTACAATTTTCCAGTAATATTGTCATAGGGCTAGTGGACCAGCAGTCCTCCAGGCATCCCGCAACGCACCACTTTATCCCTAAGTCTGGTCTCTCTGGAACTTTGTCCAACCACTCTGGCACTGATTGCAGAACTCTACTGCCTAGAGGTGTTAGGCTGTAGGTGGCTGCCCTCAGGTATTTGTTGCCCTGTATGGTCATTTGCCAGCTATGTTGTGATCACCACACTCCCAAAACCAGCAGGGGAACACCAACTACTGGGAACCTCCAGGACCCATCAGACTCATTAACGACTTGCAAATATAAGTTCCTCCCCTGCTTGGAATCTCTAGAACCCTTCGGATGCATCCAGGACTACTGTACCCCCACACACTAATCCACCCTTCCTCCACTATAGTCCCCCAGTAAGTGCAGCAGCTGAACCAAGGAGGAGATATCATCTAGGGTACAAACAAGAATCAGTGGGTCTGTGGTCAAGCCATTGAAACAAGATGGTCTGTCAGCAGATTGCCAAGAAAATGGCAGCCTGGAGTCATGACTGTGGCTGGACCCCGTGGCGCTTCAAGTGTAAGGTACTGAGGTAGCAATTCACAAAGACATGGGATAGTAATCACATCAGGTGCACACGGGGTTCTATGAACCCACTGTGCAATAATTCTTTCTTGCATCTTCATGGTGAACATCATGGTTGTGTCTAAAAAAGTTGTGGGACGTGGCAGCCCACACTGCCATCCAGGAGTGTAACGAGGACTCCAAAGCAACTGCAGGTGAGGACACAGCCACCACAGGCCAGCACAGCAACCTGGGCACTGGGCAGTGAGCCAGATTGAGGACTTGCAGTCAGTTCTTTTGTAACTGGCCAGCTGCCAAAGACGCACAAATTTTGAAGTGGACCCAGGCTTGGACAGCAAGGACCTGGAGCTTCCTGATATTACTACCACCCAGTGTTCCTCAGCTGTGTCCCAGCTTGGACCCATGTCAGGACAGATCCAGGGGTTGGTAAGTGGCAGGTCCTTGTGGATGGGTTTAGGGGCACTCAGTTTAGAGAATTGCAGTTTGGGATGGTGCTGGAACTGCTTGGGAAAATATCTCACTATGGCCCACTTCTCCCTCTTCCACTTGGGGGTGTTAAAAGGCCCCAAGGCAGGGAAAGGAGATGTTTAGTGAAATTAGCATTGGTTTTGGAAGGTTCATCTTTAACCATCACTGTGTGGTCTTTAACCATCCTTTGTTGTGGGTCTCCATTGCAGGGCAGATTGTGGCACAACATGTCCCACAACAAATGGGGCATCTGTTTACAGCCTTAGTGACTGCCTGTGGAAAGGGAGTAGCCTATCGGACAGGAGTTCTGGGGGAGAGGCAGGAATCGCATCTAGTTTTTCAGGGCAGTGATCAACTATCTTAGACAGTAGAGACTTTCTTCTCCTACAATCCCCTGCGTTAATCACAGCACATCTTTTAAATGCTGCAACAAATAAGGCTGGAAACTTTGTCAATAACTTAGTTTACTGTACAACCCAGGCTAATTGTCGAAGAAAAAAATATCCTTTATACTGAATAAAGGAGGGTGTCTGTAGAAAAAATATTACTGGTATGTGATAATATCATTAAATTTATCCTCTCGATTCATGTCCCCAGGGGACTGAATTAAGATTGTGCAAGTAACTTTAGTTCTGGCAACCCCTAATCTTGAAGTGCTAGAAATTTTGTTTTAATGTAGGGTGTATGTATGTGTAATATCCTAGATCTTTAGAAACTATATAATGAAAAAAACAGAAATTTGTTCATGTGATATCACTGACATTCACAT